TCAAAACTAAATTTTCCGCAGAGAACAGTGTTGTTATTCCGATATTGCTTTAAAGAAAGGCACACAAAAGCTCTCAGGATTTTACATAAGTCTACTGTGTCCTCCTCCTAAGTATCAAGCTTCACTTGCAACATTTTGTTGGCTGCATGTGGCAAGAGAACAGAAATCACAAAGTACACTTCTCTAACATAAAGTACAAGACGAAATGGAGGTGTTTAAAATGAAAGTTTTAAAAGGTGTTGAAGACCAAGTTTAAGTTTGTTTTTGGTATTTAAACTGTTAGCAGAAGCTGCATCAATGTTTCAGTTCGCAAGAAGAAAATGTAAATTTTGTTAATTCAAGAAGAGAAGTGTTTGTATGGTGTTGAAGACGAGCAGAAAAAGCAGGGTATTTCATATTTGGAGTAATTGTGCATGTTTCTAAATTAGACGCAGATATGCTGCATTCGTATTCTAAAGGTGCTGTTTTGGATTTTGTTTTGTTGTATTTGTGAAAACACAAAATGTACCCCTTCTATGTTGCAGTGTACAAGAAGATATTAAGATCTTCGTAAGGTGTTGAAAAGGAGCAGAACAAAACGGCATTTTGTTTTCTTCTTTTATATTGAAATATGAAAAAGAGCACATGTTGTTTCTTTTTGTTTTCAGGTACAACAAAAAGGAACCACAATAGCATGATTATTTTGAATGATGCTGTAGAACCTGCTACCACAGGAGGGACCCCGTTTAAACTTTAAAGGGTTTCTTATTACTGGTAGCAGGTGCTGCTTCTTCATTCTAAACATAATGTGCTGTATTAATTTTTGTTTTCTGTACATGCATTGTAAAAATACAAATGTAGGAGCTTCACTTGCCTCTGTATTGTGGTGAAGACTACATTTTGTCCATTTAAGTTTGTGTATACTTATTTTGGTAGCAGATCGATGCTGCATTATCATTAAAAACATGCTGTTTTGGTTCTTTATTGTTGTATCATTTTTACAGTGTTAAAGACGAGCAGAAAATGTAGTGCATTTCTTATTTTAAGTTTGTGTATGTTTTTAAACTTATAGCAGATACTGCATTGTTGTCTTACAGGGTGCTGTTTTGGATTTTGTTTTATGTTGTATTTGTAAAACCACAAGATGTGCCATTTACTTTTCTTTGTTTCAACATACAGTCATACAGCATGTGTTAATGAAAACGGGAGGGAGAAACATTTCTTTTTTTTTTCTCGAGGCCCTTATTTAATCAACAATTGGATGAATATGTACTCACTTGATGGTTAGATAGAGCACAGTAACAGCTTTTCAAAGGGATTCGTGCCCAACAAATTGTAAAACTGAATGAGATCAACCAACAAGTGGTCATACACTGGATACATTTGCTCAACTATTGTATGACTAGATCCCAATTAATTAATGAGGACTCGTTTCAAATTGTGCCCAACTTATAAGGAGAACAATTAGCCAACAGTTGTGCAACTCATATTACGAAATGCAAGGGAAACATCTAATTACCAATTCTTGGGCATAATCTCAACCAAGGCTTGGGCAGTTTTAAACCACCAAGTATCGAGCGGGTAGTTTGCTTTAAATATTTAGGAAAGACATTGCCCAACAACCGTTGGGCAAAAATTTCCCAATGGATGTACATGTTGACTATTGAACCAACGTTGGGTAATAAATTGGGCATTTAATTGCCCAATAATGTTATGTATGAGAAAGGAAATGTGTTACATTTCGTTTTAATTCTGAAGGGGTAATGAAAAATTATTTCTACGATCGTCCACTGATGTAACGTTGACAATTACAAGAAAATGAAAGCTAAAAATCTATCTAGAAAACCACGAAACATGAGTCCACACAAACCTCACAGAACAAAATGAACAAAACGAAGAAAACTGGACTTCCCTATATCCGTTCCGCTCTTGAAGTAGACCCATTCTCCGTTCATCCAGCTTCAGTTTTGTTTTTTATCTGGGACAGGCGGGATGGTGACATTCACAAGCCACATCCCAAATTCCCGGAACTTTTTCAGCTTTGCAGGATGGCCACGTATGCTAGCAGCATGCATGACAACAGTTGAGTGATTCTGCTTCTGCCATTTTGGGTCGAAAAATGTCGGGCCCCATGGAAACAGGTCAGCATCTAACATTTTGATATTCACGTGCACAGGTTTGTCACCTTTCAACAGTCCATTCATTACTGTCTGATCAGCTGGGTATGATCCCTTTTTCCTGCTGTTATCCAAAATTGCGATCCAAGCCTTCACAAACTGGATTGTCACTTTGGTTGGTTTCAGGTATATAAAACCAGCGCAGAAATCTGTTTTCTTTACTATTCTGGTAGGAGTGTGGCCTCTGAGACAGATGTCGAAGTCTCCCTGGAAATGTGGAAAGGGATCCCTAAACCAAAACGTGTCAGAGTCGGTAAACAGAACCTCAAAACCTTTCTCTAGAAGAGACAAAAAGTACGCCTGGCGTTTGTTCATAATTCCGTAGTATTGGCTGCGATGGCCACGCGAGTGTTCAATGACGTCCATTTCTCCTGAGTCGGTCTTTTGGACAAGAACTGCTGGATCCCCCTTGGCATATGTACTTAAGAGGTTGAAAGCCTTCGGATCCTCTGCGATGACTGTTGTGTTTATACAAATGCCCACCCTTTTGACGCTCTCTAGCATGTTCAGCACCACATCTACATAGGCGAGGTTTGCTGTGGTCAACATGACCACACCAGGTCTCTTCTTGATGTCGTACAAGCTGCAATTGGACAAGGGTCCCCGTCTGAATGGATCTACTGAAGCATTAACACTGGTGTTTTGAAATATCTCTCGGGTGCCATTTGTACACCCACATTGTGTCTTATCAGTCAGCTTCCTCACAGGCTTAAGTACAAGACTGGAGTCTTGGGAGTAATCTGCAAAAATGTCAGCGATATCATACATACAGGAACACGTGACAGGTGGTTTTCTTTATTGATAGTGCTTCAGTATGAAAATCCAGTTTAATCTTTTTTATTCCATGCACGAAGCTTAGGTGATTTTTATTCCTATAGCCAATGTTTGAAGAGTGAACCCCGTTACTGTGCAAAACGAAGAAGTAAGATAATTTGTAACAAAAAAATGTGTAACTGCGTGGAAGTGAGTCAATGGGCAACCCAATATCGTGGCTATTCAAAAATAAGTTTTGGATTCAAAATTTGAACGGAAATACTCCTAAAATGATCATGGTCTTTCTGTAATGATACCGTAGCAATATTGTCCTCAGTTGTCAATTGTCCAGGAGAGAATAGACAATTCGCCAACACAAAGAATCGCCAAAGAAACGACTGTTTACCAGAGCTGTAGACTCGAGTCACTTGACTTAGACTCAAGTCGGACTCGAGTCACTATTTTCGTGCCTCGTAACTTGATTTGTAACAATCAGTTGTTGACTTGTGACTTGACTTGGATTTGCAAAAATATGACTCGTGACCTGACTTGGACTTGCGCATTATGACTTGTTACCAACGCAAGTCAGAAAACTATTCGGTCGAACCCATTGCAGTTTGAAACTAGGCCTATCAACTTATTCACGCCTTGCGTTCTTAAATAATCATCGTAAGATGATTTCGTTCGGCTTGCCAAGTTTACTTCGGTCTTGTCTGCCCAAGGCCACGTCTGAATCACTGAGCTGTTGTGTTTTAGTCTTGCACATTTGTTTGGCAGTGCTTACGTTTTTCATTGTTTTCCCCCCAACTTCAAGCTTCGTTTTAGCCTTATGTTGAATTATTCATTTCATTTGATGACGCCATTCAGCCTAGAATTGGAAACAAAAATAGCGTCCCGATCTCAAAGGCCGGAATTTCCGCGTCAAAAACCGCGTTTAGGTGGCTGTAACATGCCTTCAAGACAAGCTAATAGGTTATTTTTATAACATTTACCCATAATTATATATTTGTTGAGCATTCATCCCCTCAATTTCCAGTTTGAGGAGGAAATGGGCCAGATTCGCAGTATAAAGCGAGCGGAGACGTCATACATTGTTTCCGTATACCGACAAAAATTGAAAATGGCTGAAATATTTTGGTCATACACTTATCTGCGCTCATCTCAAGTTATCGACTAGGCTACTGCCCCAGACTTTAGAAAGCTTTTTGTGAGTGCTCAACTCAAAGCGTCTCTAAACAATAGTTGAACATGATGTTGGCAGATGTTTCAGTTCGAAAACGTCGTTCGTGAACGGCACGTGAAGCATGTTGACAGCTGGAAGGTTATTTGCATAACTTCCGCCGATAATCACTAAAGTGATGTGAATTATGCACATCCTACCATTCTTACTAAAGTTTGTTTCCACCCTTGGTCAAACAAAATATCCAAATCCTTCCTGTGTGGTTGGTGTCGCGGATTGTGGAATAAATATGGAAGGTCTTTGAACCAAGACTAGGCTGTGGCTTGATATCACAAATATGGCGCAACTTGACTGTTACTTGGACAAAAGGTCTTCCGACTTGCTTGTGCTTGGACCAAATTGACTTGACTTGGGCAGTGATCAAATTACTTGTAACTCCACTTGTGACTGGACCAAATGATTTGTGACTTGACTTGCAATAATTGACTTCTGACTTACTTACAAAAGTCGATTGTTTACCGCAGCCAAACTTTGAGCTAAAAGTTTAGAGGTTTCCTCCCAGAATAATATCACAGATTTTTTTCATGAATACGGAAACTGCATTTGATAAAAACATCCAGGCACCAAAAAACGGCCAAACACGATGTGCACCTTGTGGATTTTATTTAAAGATAACATTGCATGTTGGCCCTTAAAACATTCGATATTTATTTTCTTGTTAATTACTGCTCGTACTAAATGCTCCTTATAAATTTCAGGAATTCTTGGTGGTATGTTTATACTACGAGTCTTTCTAGGCACGATAGCCAAACAACACCGTCAACTTTTCCCCACAGAGCCTTGTGGTCTGTTATTGTTGGAGATTTAATATTCAACTTGAGGAACAAAACAATTAGAAATCAAACACTTACTTATGATGAATAAGGTGAAGGCTGCAGACTGGAGGAAAAACAGGATTTTATACACTTGCTCGGAGGCCATCTTTTGTAAGTCGGTGTAAGAATCAGTCCAGAGCAGAAATAACCGCTTCGACCTAATATGTCAGATATATTAAAAACAATATTGGCAGATCCATGACCTATATCATGAAAGATTATGAAAGAGTAAATAGACCAGTAAGCGCAAGGTAATTCTCACATTTGTCTGTTTAGCCGATGCGAATGGAGACTCTGTCCTGTGGAGTGCTTCTCCGCCTTAGAAACACTGTCCACTTGTGTAGAAAAATTTACTTCAACAATGAAGTTGTCAGTGAGATGCATCCCCAGTAAAGATTGGATTTGAAGTCTGGAGCCCAGACGTAGACAGGGCTCCTTTATATGTTGGGACTTTGGGATGTTCTGCATGAAACCCTCAGTCGATCTTCACCAGGAAACTACAGCTCCTACAATTCGTCACTGGTCCCACTATCAAAAAAGTCTATATGCTAACTGTGGACGAGATTTTCTATTTACATAGAAAGCAATGAGATCATTTGATCATTTTTTGATAGCTTGCCGGATGTTCTTACAACAAATGCTTGCTAGTTCCACTCTGTTTCCCAAGACATGTTTAGAATTCTCATCTTTCTGACATTCATTTTTGAAGTAACTTCCTCCAAAGGGAACAACCTTCAACTTTTAGGGAGATAATACTTCACATGCTTACAACGCCAGTTCCTTTGTGCGCAGGTTCAAGACGCTAGTTTCCCGATTCGTAAAGTAAGTCCCTTTATCTTGGTTATGGTCCTAATCCCAATATAGCCTAGATGGTTCCGCCGGTAATTCCAACCATTTGGCAGTGAGGGTTCAAGTCACAGCACACCTAATTAATGTCTGGAATACAGCCCTTACTAACTGCCAGCTTCAAATATGGGTCGGATGTCTGGTACCAATTAAGCTGTCTGCCAAGTGCGAACAGTCAGGAATGGTAGTGGAAAGTGGTTAAATAGGCTAACCGTAGTAGGCATCACACACCAACAAGCTGTGAATTTAGTGGAGGCTTGCAGCTGGCAGATCTGAAAAATCAATGCTTAATTTAATTCATTCTGACGATGAACTATGCACCAACACCTGTTTTCAATGTTTCGGTATTAAGTCACACATATTCAACATCCGTATGTCCTATTTAGTAAACTGTCCAAGTGTTATTTCATTTCTTTTATCATCTTCTTCCTTTACATCGTGTAAAAAAATAAATCAGTTGGCTCATTTCACACAAGCATATACATCAACGCATCACGGATGTGACGAGGTGCCACTTTAAAAAAAATTGTTATTATAAAAGTTACGTGACCACTATAGGCTTTGGTAGTTGTAAACTAGAGTCAGTATAAAATAATTTTAACGGAAAGCGACCTATATACAATTATTATAGAGCCTACTGAACACTTAATAGGACCACATCAGCAAATTAGACTTTTATATTGTCAGAAATAAATCTAGGCTACATATTGCTTCAGAGTTTTTTCAGGTTTTTCTTCTTAGGACCAGAAGGTGCAAAAATCTCAAATTTTTAAGTGACCATACAGCGGCGATGTCCACTGAATGCAGTAATTGACACACTTGCACTTACGGAAGTTCTTGAGAATTTGAAGTCATGAAAGAAAAAATTAAAATGTTTAGAAATTCACGGTTTGCATTGGGCTGACTATGCAGATTGTTTTGGCTGACTTAAAGCATGAGACTAGTTTGGAAAAGGAAACCAATTATGAAAACGACAGCAATAGTGGAATAGTAAGAACCAAGAAATATAACATGGAATGAGCGATGTATTCCGACAGCTCATAGCAGTAATTTTCATATGAGTCGAAACATATACTTGGTAATGTTGATGCAAAATGATAAATGATCATGTTAAAATGAAACATGCCAGATGAATGTTAGTAAACAAAATGATTTCGAAATTTGTAATTATTCGACATAAATGCACTGATGTTATCATGAGACACTCTGTTTTGATGGAGTTTAATACCTACATAATCAATGTGGAAACTGACGGCCGAAGCTTGTTTTTGTCCCACACAACGGCCGGGTAGGCCTACCTAGAAAGGTTGATCGATTCACAAAATGTTAGGGCAAAAAATACTGAAAAAAGATATTCTTGTTGAGTAACAAACGAATGAGTGGCTCGAAATTACCATTTAAGTTGTGAATATCTTTATTTCAGAAGGAAAACAAAAGCGGTCAACACTGCTAAAACCAAGTTCGTATCTATTACCAATTTTGAATTATCAAGCATTTCCGGTTTCGACGAAAGCAAGGTTCAGTTGATTTTACGTTACTTTCACGACAAGAAAAAAAAACCTTAATTAGTTCTGTCCCTCGCCGCCAAAAAAAAATGTTGACACCAAGTGACATTATGTTGACGCCAGAGTCATATGCACCGCTTGGATTAGGGTCAATATACGTTTTAAGTGACATGTTCATATCTTAAACAGTTTTAGGAGAAAAGAAAGGAATGCATTTGTTACAAATGGTATTTTCTGTCTCAACATCCTCAGCCATTTTTCCATTATGAGAGACTTTAACCGTATGAATGTGTACCCAATAATTAGAGGCAATGATTTGTGCCAAATGGTTGATTTTTAAGATAGTGAAAACGCCACATTAGGCAAGATGTTCTTACTGAATATAAATTGAAAGAAAGGTTTTTGTAAACAATCTTGTGTCACTTTCTTCTATCAGCAGTGTAATGATAACAATATTTGCGCATTAGGAAAATCGAAACTTGTTATCGAGGGGAAAGTTTCTAATATCCTTGCTGTCTGCTGCTGGATACGGGGCAAGAATGGTGTCCATAGCATGCCTTCGATTTAACCCATACACAGGATAAAACTTATGCATTGTATTGTCTGCTCGATAGAGGAATGGAACCCACAAATAGTCGGGTACTATTTCGTCCGTCTGAACCGCAGAGTTCCTTCATGGTGTCACCCTAACAGACTTTCGCCATCCAAATTTTCCGATATTTCCCGTCTTTCCCAAAAATTGTGGATACTTGTGCCATCTTGTGTTGCCACAACCTGCATCAATGCACTTGGTTGGCATGCTCCACAAATTTGACTAGTATTGTAGCAAACTTTTGGTGATCTCCAAATCACGGTTAACTGCACTGGTATACATGCACACAGTGCCGCTGGCCGAAGTGGGTTCTCAAACGTGCGTCACAATTATGCAAATTTTCTTTGGTAATGAAACGATTCCCTTGTGGCGGGACCGTTTCGCAAAACTCCTTATAATTTTTATTCTCATACTTAATAATTAAGGCAAAAACTTTTACTGACGGAAAATCTGTCTTAAACATATTATGTTCCATTCAAACTAATAAAAAACACATTTCATGGGTCCTTTAAAGTATGATATTAATGTATCAATTTAATGTTAAATGCTTTTATTCAACGCTACCTAAATTCGTAAATTCGAATGCCTTCAGCCTTTGGGCTGCTTTTTATTTAAATTAAATAAACCAACCATATCAACAATGTTGCCCCTGATATGTTCATCTCAAAGGGGGATTCGACAAGACAAAATCTGGGTCCGCTGGGTCTCAAATTATGATTCTTTACGTTTCTCTGGGCTGTCACTCAAATTACTGGAAGTATGAAAATGGTTTGACATTTCTAGCGATTCCACAACTGATCGTCCGACATGAGCGCATGTAGGGGGACTTAAATGATAGATGTGATAATCGGTTAAAGCATAAGTGTCAGTCCATTCAAGTGCGGAGGTAGGTGTTTCACTGAATCTAGAAGCCATGACAGTAAGTTAACAAGGCGGACCAGGGGGAGCAGAGCGAAGTGTTGAGCATTTTCTGAGGCTAAAGTACATGGACTGTGGATACAGAACAATCTGAAGCGGAACGTTTAAGTGAACAACATGCTGACTCAGGCATATCAAAGGCTTTTATGCTCAGTACTTCGAAAAGATTGATTCAGTAGTAAGTAACTGTAAGTTCATTTTAGCGCCTACATTATAGCGGTACATGGAATATGCCAATGTTATGTGACTGAAGTGCAAAGAGGGTTTGTAAAATCAATTTAGGAAGGGAATACGCTCGCTATAATGATGCTCTCAGAAGTCTTTATCTCGAAACATGATTGCTATGAGGGCAAACATTCACCCGAAAAACATTCAGTGTTACCCTCACACTAAGTTATTATTCCCTTCCAAAATTAAAAGCCATTTTAGTAAAAACCTGCGAAATCACAACATCTCTACCAAAGCGTAATCTTTTCAAAATTAGTTCCATCCCCAAATTTATCAACTCTCAAATAACTGATCCAATTACTTTGTACATAGCTGCAACTCTACGGTTTTCTTTGGTTATAGAATTGTACATGTATTTAAACGACTTTGGTGTAAATAGTGCCGTTTTCATTTACGTTTAGCGTTTGTCTTTATTCATATGTTCATGTGTTTTTAATTAACTTATATCTAATCACGAATCCACCGTAACCAAGGTGGAATTCAATCGCTAGGCTGCAATACATTCGATCAATGAACCTGCTAAGAAGAAACAGAAGAGGTAGAAGAATCCGAATCATCATATTTCTAGTATTTCTAATCACCCTGAATGATTGAATAGGGCGACGCTGGAACATTAAGCTGGAATAACGCATATAGCACCGCTTTCTTTCCCTTAGTAAGCAAAATCCCATGGGGCGACATTTTGAAAAGGGCGACATTTCTATTGCCCCCTGTTTCAAATCTGTCGTCCTAACCTCCATCAAAGTGGCCCCAATTCTTTCGCTCTGAATGGTAATCACCATAATTTTCGACATAAGAACAATCATAAACGTGTGTCATACATGTTTATCTGAAATGAAGGCAATCAGTAAATTTTGCTTTCTTGTAAATGCGTGTACAGGTGCACAGCCATTTTTGTCTATATAAACATATGACGTTGATATTGGTCTGTAATTATTCGGAGAATTTCAAATGAAAAGTTATCAAAGGTTGGCAGACCCCCCCCCCAGGTTCTTGGTTTAAACTTAACAGAGTTGTAATGACTTAAGTCAATGACTTGACTCGAGTCCAATCCCAGTCCCAACGGGTAAATGAATCGACTCGATGCTCTGCGACTTAATGACTCGACTCGAATCTTTCATGGAGACTTAATTCGAGTACAAGCTTATAAAACTCGAGTCTCAGAAAAATTAAAAGCAAAAGTTATGTCAGTATGTCTGAATGAAAATAAAAATACCAAAATATGACCTACTAGTTCTGTTTTTATGTTGTTTTGTTCAAAAACTTGTGACTAAAATTGACTCAAACTTTGTATTTGACTCGACTCGACTTAACTACACAAAGTGACTCAAGTCGACTCGAATTCTTGACATAGTGACTCAACTCGAGTCACAATGTTAAAATGAATCGACTTGACTTGAGCTACAACTCTGAAACTCTGGTATGTTTTCTTTCCTTGGCAAAAATCCTCTTGCATATTTGATCTGATTTGATTTATTTTCAAATATCATTCTAACTATAAGATGGGGTTTTTTACTACACTACAATCGATACAATAAAAGAGGATGCCTGGTGGTGGCTTGAAGAAAGCCTAAGGTTGTACTTGGCCATGTCACCAGGAGATACATACACATTAACCAAATAAAGTTCATCATTTCAGAAAAAGAATGAATTAAATTTAAGCAGTGAATTACTATTATCCAGAGAGCTATCTATCACTACCACACATTATGTATTTTATACTAGTTGGAATTGCAGTTAGAAGGGAAAAACCGGGGAATTACGAAGAGCAAAGCAGATACAACAGAAACTAACTGGAATGGAAACATATTTAAAATTTCAATGTCTTTGAAATTATCAACCAATATGAAGTACAATGGTTCGAATAATCTCACGCTAGAGGAGTCAGATTTCATTTGACCCTGTCTCGTTGATGAAACATTCCATCTTTTCCCTCATGAAATCATTACTTTAACGGTGACTGGGTGGATGAAAAACCTTCACTTTTATGTCTGACACATCGCCTGGATAAACCCTGCACCCCTCCCCGCATCTCTTGAACAAATCTTTTCATCATATACAAGCTTAGAAATATCTGAACTTGTGATTGAGCAATGTCGCATGATCCTATTGTCCCTCAGCAAAGCCATAGATTTCCCGTTTAAGTGAACTGTGTGACATTCCAACATGAAATATTCAGGCTAGAATATATGTAATGAACGGAAATTCTGTAGTTCATACGGTGTGCTTTTTTCAAACAGACTATAGCTGACACAAAACGTGAAATGGATTATTCAATCCTTTTCAATGCAGTTGTTATCTCCCGTGATATCTATTGTCGTTTGTCAGTACCGTTCAGATTGAATTCATAAATTTCAAATGTCATTGTCAAACGAATGACTAATTGGGATGGATGAACTGTTGGTTGACTTGGATGTATATAACATATCAAGAGTTTTATACAGTATCTTTTCATTGCGCACAATGGTGTAGCGGGGGGAGGTACACCATTCTGGCTCCAGCCACAACCCTTCCCCAACCCAGAAAAGGACAAGGGGGTCTAAATGAGCCCAGAAGCAAACATTTATTTTCCATTTATATTGCAACGAGGAATTTATGGCTGTAAAATTGCAAAATACGAGATATATCCTAGTACTATCCATATCAGTGTTTTATGTATTTAAACAGTTATTTACCAACTTCAAATCCTTCAAATCCTCGGATACTTTAAAAGTATACTGGACGTCGTTTTTAATACAACAAGCTGGGAGATCTGACTCGAATAAAGGCTATAATCGTAGCTATGGAGGATTTAGTTTTGTCCGACATTTCAACAGGGGGAGCTTCTACGCGACATGATGACCATAGTTTCCTCTCAAGACCCATTTTCTCGTAGGGAAGTACGTGGCGTATCCCTAGATAGTTGTGTATAGACGAATCTGAAGCTTAGTTCTATTGACAGGAATAATATACTATCGTTGTCATGTATCCAAACGTCTGTTTATCAACTTCAAATTGTCGAACTCACTGGTGTACTTTAAGGGTATCCTGGACGAATGTTACCTTTCTATCGACA